ACTGGGCAGCCACCTGAAGGTTTGACCTCCCTTAGACTATAAAATCTCATGGATGGCAAGCCAACGGGGCATATCCTAGGCACTGCACTCAACCTCTAGAGAAGTTCTGACTGGGACACCCATCCCATCACAGCTACACACTAGCTTGGTGTAACCCGCAGTTCTGAGCTCGCTCAGTAAATGGACCCCCCCCCCCCCTTTTTTTTTCATGCATACAAATCTGGACCTATATCTTATAGACCAGTGTCAACATCACACCGGCTGTCTTTACCTGATACCCATCGTAGGTTGGGTCGACCTGAGAGCCAAGGTTATTTACAATAAAGCTCGGCTCCATTTGCAATGGAACCCACGACTTTCGCACCCTCAGAGGAGCGTCTAGCCACTCTACTTCATAACTTTAATGAATATGTGTTTTAGAAGAAGAATTGGAGGAGGAAAAAGAAGAAGTAGAGAAGAAAAAGAAGGAGAAAGAAAAATAAAGGAGAAGGTGAAATAAAGGAGAATGAGAGGGAGGCGAAGAAGAAGAAAAAGATAAAGAAGAAGAAAAGAAAGAAAGAAGAAGAAGAAAAAAAGAAGAAGGAGAAGAAAAAAATAAAGAAGAAGAAAAAGGAAGAAAAAAGAAAAAATGAAGAAGGAGAAGAAGAAGAAAGAAAGAAAAAAAAGAAAAGGAAAAGAAGAAGTAGAAGAAAGAAGAAAAAGAAAGGTCTGCGCTCTTTGTGAGAGCAGATTTGCCCGTCCGTCACGTCGTCCGTCACGTGTACCAAATCTGCGTACAGCCAGTTTCACAGTCTGGCCTCTCTAGATACAACATCGTCTCTAGCAATCGGCAGGCGGGTCCCAGGACAGACCCCATTGTGTGGCTGGCGTCAATCTGTAATATCAACGTGGCTCGGGTGTCCAAGAAGTCACAACGTTTGTTACTTTTGTTTTAGTCCACCCCATCTCGAGAAAATCCGAGAGTTCCCGGTAAATTAAAATATGTCGTCTGTGTGGGAGGGAGAGATGTGGGGTATATGTAAGAGTTAGTCCAGGACCGGCCTATCTCAAAGGTCATGTAATCATAAATTTTTTTTTTCTGAGGTTACGTAACGGTACATACTACCGGCAATTTTTTTAGCCACAGTTTTTCAGTTCTACTGGAATAGACACTTTGTGGTGAGCACTGGCTTGTAGTCAACACAGGCACTTTCATTTTTAGGAAGGAAAATGAAAGATTGCACGTAATTGTGGTAGCGTCAAAGATTCGTCATTATCGGTCCTTCCAGTCTTCATAGCGATTTAACCGAGGTAAAGATGGGAAATTAGAAGTGTATGTAAGCTTTGCCGAGTAACAATAACAAAAATGCAAAGAAGGTTGCGACACGTCTTCATCAGCAATAACAAGAGAATCTCATAACACAGAACACACATGGAAATAATACTTCTTTCTAGCGTTTACCAGCTGTAAACTCCAGTGGGAGGTTGTGATAATTCGTCCACTGTTTTCCAGATCTGGCTTACTTATATGTCTTCTTCTTCTTCTTTCGTTCGCATGAAATAAATTGTCTATATCTGCAAAGCCGTCTCTTGTATGAATTTCACTGTCTTTTGTAATTCACTAAGCGGCCCGTAAAGTTTGACTTCCACAAGTGTCTCTTTTGGCCAAATGTTTTGCCTGAAAGCGTTGAATATGGGACAGTCTTGAAGGATGTGATCTGTTGTTTCAGGTGCCAGTCCACAAGTACACATGGCCGATTGGCCAATCTTAAATTTGTTGTACATGTGGGAGCGAAGTCTATTGTGCCCTGTTCTAAGGCGAAGGATAATAACTTGCTCTGGTCTGTCCATAATATGGTAATCATCTTGTGCCAGTTTCGGTGGCATTCTGATTGATTTGATCATTCTCTTCTTCTGTTGATAAGAGACTGGTATGTCAGGTTGTTCTTCAGTTGCACCTTCCTTAGCTAGTTTATCAGCTTTTTCGTTTCCGGGAACTCCACAGTGGGAAGGTATCCACTGCGTTACTAATTTACAGCGGTTGCCTAGTTCGGATAATAGTGTCCGTATGCTTGGTAATTTTCCAGACTGGAGTGACTGAAGTACTGCTTTTGCATCTGTCAGGAATACCACTGGTTGTGAAAAATACCCTGTATTTAGTAGTTTCTCTACCGCTATCTTGATGGCTTGAACTTCTGCATCATAGTTGTGACTGGCTTATATGTATGCGTGCGCCCGGCTCTCTAGCGTAGCTGGCTAAACCGGATTGCGCGGAGACCGGGTGACGAACTCCTTGTGGTCCGGGTTCAATCCCGGGGGTAGGCAGGAAAGCCACATTTCTCCCAGATTTATGGGATTTACAATGGAATCAAGGCCGAAAGGTTGCGACATCCATAATACCGAGCCTAAGGGTTAACAACTCATGGATTCTAGAAACTAAAAAAAATTTATGCATGCTGCCGGTTCCCTGCCTCTCAGACAGATCTGGCTTATATGTATGCGTGCTGTCGGTTCCCTGCCTCTCAGACAGATCTGGCTTATATGTATGTGTGCTGCCGGTTCCCTGCCTCTCAGACAGATCTGGCTTGTATGTATGCATGCTGCCGGTTCCCTGCCTCTCAGACAGATCTGGCTTGTATGTTTGCATGCTGCCGGTTCCCTGCCTCTCAGACAGATCTGGCTTATATGTATGCGTGCTGTCGGTTCCCTGCCTCTCAGACAGATCTGGCTTATATGTATGTGTGCTGCCGGTTCCCTGCCTCTCAGACAGATCTGGCTTATATGTATGCATGCTGTTGGTTCTCTGCCTCTCAAAAAGATGTACTCCGACTTCAAAGGATACCCCTAGTTAGTCGATTCCTACAATATTCTTGCTGGGAAGGCATTGGGTCTATTCTTGCCCCCGCCCCCATCCCCCACAATGGGGCCCTGGAACCCATACAGGAAGGAAATAATACTTTAGTAATCACAGTGTAACAAAATAATAATATTCAGTAATATGAAATAAAATAAAATACAGTTCTGTCAACGGCCATTAAGTCCATAATATTTTATTAAAATTTAATCGTATAAGAAAAAGAAAAAAAAAAAAGCAGCAATTAACACACGGCTAACAAGAAAACCAGTGTTAATGGTTAAGTGATTTAATATGCATTTATCAGAACACACTGAAGATGAAAATTCCTGAAGCTGGTAAAATATAGGACGCAATTTTTCTTTATTCTAAAGCACCACGCCGACTGTTGTCGGGGACCCTAAAAGAATGTTGAAAGTTGAATTAGGAATCGACATCACATCACTCAGGACTCCCTCACAAATGCTCTGTCCCCATCTTCAGCAGCAAGCGAAGAGTTAAAATTCCCATGATACCAGTAACTGTCTGATTGTATATCCGTCTCGACTTTGCCCTGAGTGTGGTGCGTCGGCCAGATCACCTTGTAACTCCTCGCAGTGCCATTCTTAGACCATAATGATCTATCTGTGCTTCAGCACTGTTCACTCGCTCCCAAAGGGCCCTCACAACATCCAGCTTGTCATACATCAGTTTACCACCAAGTGTTGCAGAACTGGCCAGTCTATCTGCCTGCTCATTTCCCAACACACTAACATAAACTGGAGAAAATATCCAATGGATGATAACTACCCGGGACTTTTAAGTGCCACTCTGCACGGAGCATGCCTGTCTCCACCTTTCACAACATGCTCTGTGAGTCAGTAACAATGACAGCATGTGCGTACAGCTGATTCTCAAGCCAGTGGAAGGCAGCAGTGACTGCATCCACCTCCATTCTCAAACTAGACGTTGTGGAAACAAATGCCAGGCTTTGTTGCCACAAGCGACGTCCATTCGCCTTCGCAATGAATCCCCATGCACTTCGTCTGCCCCTCAACACAGAGCCATCTGTATAGACAATCACATCACCTTGGCGGGAATTTTCATAAATTATTTGTTGAACTTCTGATTCTGCAGCAGCAGCTGGCCAGTCCCTGCACTCACGTCCCTAAATAATTATAACCCTGCACAAGTCTGAAACCTGATCGGACACTGTGACCCACTCCCCTCTTTAGGGACCCTAATATAACTTAACGATGGAAAGCAGTTTCTGGGACTTGTATGCGAGTGATTCTCAATGAACGGCGGCACTTTGTGTCACCGGACGTTTATCGCTCGTTGTGCGGTCCTGGTGTGGTTAAACTTCATTCGAAGCTGGTAAAAGTAAAGGTCCC